ATCTCGGTATAACGGATTTTTGAAATTTTTGTTCTAATTGCCCAAATTATCCGCTATACCGAGACTCACTGTGTAATTGTTGCGGCGTCACTGCGCAATGTGTGGCGCAGTCATTCCGCAGAAATGTAAAGTGATAATGGTCACGTGACTTCCGCAGTATTTTGGTTTGGTTGGATCGGCAACACGGAACCTCTCTATCGGTCCTCGTTTTACTATCTCACAGTACCAAATATATATTTACCATAAGGATCGTTGTCGAAAAAACCTAAAATAGGAATTTCATTTTTTAGGTCACTAAGCAGTTTTATTAAATGCCGAGTTGCAAAATCCTTTTGAATAGAACCAAAAAATAAATTAATATTTCCTCTTTTTAGAAATAAATAAATTTTATATACATATTTTTATAACTTACAGGATAGCCTTTTCCCTATAAAAAATTTTTTTTAAAAAAAAGAAAGTTTATTATTCATTCAATCAACTTTTACACTGAAAATAATGATATGTAGTCAACACTGTTAGTCTGAAATCTCCATTAAAATGTATTTTTTTAAAACAAAAAGTCAAAAGATATGCAGATCCTTCCGAAATCACACATTGAACAGTAATTATTATCTGTATAAACTGTTAATTGAATATCAATTTTTTTAAAAAATTTTTTTGAAACACTTATTTTAAATTGCCTTGATAATCCAAAGAAAAAGTGGCATGTACCAACCCTTCAGACTAACAGGGTTGACTATGTATGTCAGAATAATATATTGACAAATACTTACTGCGATTAAAATGCAGGATTCTAACTTTTGAAAAATATTGTTTGATAATAGTGTTTGAAGAGTTGCCTAAATAATTAATAATAATAACAAGATTAATTAAATAATTCAATATTGTTTAGTGTTCCATATCGCAATCTAAAAAAGGAAAGAAAATGGTCACAAAGGTGGTTGCAACCACCATCAAAAATTGCAACCAGAAACTATAATATTGTTATAATTTCAAAAAATTTCAAAAATCAGTATTAACATCTTTTTCCATGACAATGATGTATTTAGCTTGGGTTACGATCTGTATTAGATAAATTCATTAACGATAATAATCATAATTATAATAAATCACAATATCTATAATAACAATAAAGGATATCATAGTCTGCATTAGGATCAATTGATTGTATAAGAATTCCATTTGATGATAAATTTCTTGAGGAGTCCACTACAATTTGATCATTTTTAAATATCTTTAAGTCTCCTGCAATTATACCTTTTGCAGATGCAATCTTTTTTTAATCAATTTGAAAGAATAATTAATAATAAAATTAAATATTATGTTATATATAAATATCATTTTATTTTCTTTTTTACCACATTTAAGCAGTATCTCGGAATTTTTAAAAAGCAGCATAGTTCATTGATAGCCTTCATTATTAAAATTCATTATTAAACATCAAATTATTTTTCTAACCAAAAAAAAAATATTATTATTTAATAATATAACAAATCTTTACTCTGTCAACTCTATTTTGAGAACCAAACAACCTGACATCTCTGTAGTAAATCCCGCTATTAGTAACATTATGTATATAGAAAGAAATAAATAATGTTTTTAATTTTCTTCTTTCTATTTTTTTTTATCTAATAATAATATAATACAGCCTACCGTTTAGTCACTTTAATTTCTTTCGTAATAAGTTCGTGACAGATGTTAAGTATTCTTAATATATCAAGATTTTTGTTGTTCTTCCTTGATATTAATTTCTTGATTTCATAATCATCATTATTCTTTTCATTTATCCTATTTATCATTGATTCAACTTTTTTTAAGATACCATCCCTAAAAAATTATTGAATCAAAATTAACAAAATTTAAGGTCTATTTATTGTTTCCACTATCAAAAATTACCTAGTGACATCCGATGTTTTGTGCATGTCAAATGGTGTTTCATCCGATATTTCACCCACATCAAATGATGTTTCATTATTTGAAACATCTACTAGAATTTTTTTAGAACTTATACGATGCTCGAAAGAAGAATTGTTTAAAAAAACATTTTCCTATTGTTAAAATTGTGTTAATAAAATCAGAATAATACCAAAATAGTCATTATTACCCATTCAAAGAGAATATAATTTACTTATCACTTACTTTATTATTTAAAAATGAAAGATTTCCTACTTCACTAAAAAAATTTTAACTTTTGTTAGTAATTAATACAATGATGACACGTTGCAATGATCATAACCAGTGTTGAAATTTCAGCGGGAGGGCGTAACGTTACACATATCAAAATATGCTAAAATAGGTTTAAATCCTATGGTTTTGATATGTGTAACGTTACACCCTCCCGCTGAAATTTCAACACTGATCATAACCACCATCACCATTCTTTTTTTAAACACTTACTTTTTCTCATTTTCTTTAAAATAATCGATTTTTCTCTTTCTGTCCCTATTTTTGTCTGGCATATTTATTTATTTTAAATTTTTTCTATCTATTTAAACTTCTGTTTTAAAAACAAATGAAAAAAATTTTGTTATACAGTATATATGATTATCCCTTAAACTGTCCACATTTTCGAATAAGGGAATTTCGAAAATTTTATTGGTAAATCACAAAATTCCACCAATC